ATCATGAAGAATAAAATACTTAAGAATAAACTTGGCCAAGGAGGCAAAAGACTCGTGAACTGAAACTACAGAACACGAGAAAAGAAAATAAACAGGGGCCAGCACTGTGGTGTAGCAGGTAAAGCTGCCACCTGTAGCACCAGCATCCCATGTGGACACCAGTTCGAGTCCCAGCTCTGATCACTTCTGATCCAGCTCCCTGCTAATGTGCCTGGGAAAGCAGCAGAGAATGGCCTAAGTGCTGGGGTTCCTGCATCCACATGGGAGACCAAGTGGAAGCTCCTGGCTCCAGACCAGCCCAGCTCTAGCCATTGGGGAATAAATCAGTGGATAGAAGATTTCTCTCTCTCTGTCTCTTAACTTTGCCTTTTTTTATATAATGGACTTTATTTGTTCATTTATTTATTTATTTTTTCCAAAGAAACCTTTTATTTTATGATCACAAATTTCATAAGCACAATTTTTGGAATATAGTGATTCTTCCCCCCATACCCGCCCCCTCACTCTCACTCTCACCCCAACTCCTCCTCCTTCTCCCATTCCCAGTCCCATTCTCCATTAAGATTCATTTTCAATTAACTTTATATACAGAAGACCAACTCTATACTAAGATTTCAACAATTTGCACAAACACACACACAAAATATAAAAAACTGAGAACAAGTTAAACAGTTAATTCTCAGAATATAACTCATTAAGGACAGAGGTCCTACATGGGGAGTAAGTGAACAGTCACTCCTGTTGTTAATTTAGCAAGCAACACTCTTATGTATGATGTCAGTGATCACCTGAGGTTCTTGAAATGAGCTGCCAAGGCTATAGGAGCCTCTTGAGTCCTTAATCTCCAACAGTATTTAGACAAGGCCATAAGCAAAGTGGAAGTTCAATCCTCCCTTCAGAGAAAAGTACATCCTTTGATGGGCCATTCTTTCCAATGGCGTCTCACTCACAGAGACCCTTCATGTTCTAACTCAGTCTTTTAAATAAATAAATATATCTTTTAAAAAAAGGAAATTAAATAAAGACATAGGCATATTCATATATTGGAAAACATCATTTTCTTAGATTGTTAGTACTATTCAATGGTAATTGACAAATTAAATGTAATCCTTATCAAAACTGCAATGACATTTTTAGTAGAAACCTTTAAAAAAAAATCAATTGGAAAAGTCATATGGGATCTCAAGAGACCCCAAATAGCTAAAATAAATTCAAATAAGAACAAAACTGAAGGCCTCACTGTCTACTTTCAGAAAAACATACTACAAGAGATTCTGACAGAAGGAACAGTGGGGTAGCACAGACAGCCCAGAAATAAACCCAGGCATATACAGTCAAGTGATTTTCAGCAAGAGTGCCAGGAACACTGAATGAGGAAAGTACAGTCTCTTCACCAAATGGGTCTGTGAAAACTACATCTATCCACATGAAAAAGAATGAAGCTAGATACTTATTTTATACTATGCATAAAAATTAAATCAAAATGGATTAAAGACTGAAACTAACAATTGAAACTATAATACTATTAGGGGGAGAAAAAACATGGGAGAAAAGCTTTATGATGCTGGATTTATCAATTACTTCTCAGTTATGACCCCAAAAACAGATTCAGCAAAGCAAAAACACACAAATGAGACTGTATCAAATATAAAAACTTGCACAGCAATGGAAACAACAGGATGAAAAGGATGAATGATAACCTTTGGGGCTGATAATATGGCACAGCGGATTAAAGCCCCAGCCTGCAGTGCCAGCATGTGATACTGGTGCTGGTTCAGTCCTGGCAGCTCCACTTCCAATCCAGCTCCCTGCTAATGCACCTAGGAAAGCAGCAGAGCCCCTGTACCCACATGGGAGACCCAGAAGCAGCTCCTGGCTCTTGGCTTCTGGCCTGGCACTGCCCTGGTCGTTGTAGTCATTTGGGGAGTGAATCAGCAGATGGAAGACCTCTCTCTCTCTCTGTCTCTACCTCACTCTGTAACTCTCCTTTTAAAATAAATGTCTTTAAAAAAAAAAAAAAAGAAAGAAAAGGCAATCTATGGAATAGAATATATATATATATTTCAAACTATTCTCTGATAAGGCATTAATATCCAAAATTTACAACAAACTTCAACTCAGTGATGAAAATCCTAAAAATCCAATTTTAAAATGACAAGGATTCTTAGTAGACTTTTCTCCAGAGAAGATACCAACCACCAAAAAAGCCCAATAAATCCTCTGCATCCACATTCACATGTTCAACCAACTGCAGATATATTTAAAGCAAAACAAAACTAAAACCTGGATCTGTATTTAACATGCACAGACTTTTTCTTGCCATTATTCCCCTATCAAAACAGTATGAAAACTACACGGCAAGCACATACATTGCATTAAGCATAAACAATCTACAGATGCAAGTATTCAGACATATCTGAGAGGGGAATCTTAGAAGAAATCCCTCGTATACTAAGGGACAACTATGTCCAGAAAGATATTCAACATCAATAATCATCAGAAAAAGACCAAACAAAACCTCAGAGAGATACCAGCTCATTCCATTAAGATGACCATTATCAAAACCACAAGAAATAACGAGTATTTCTGAGCATGCTGAAAATATGGGATCCTTGTGCATGGTTAGGTAGGAACAGAGCAAAATGGTACAGCTACTATGGAAAACAGTTTAGAAGTACCTCAGAAAATTAAAAAGAGAATTACTATATAATCCAACAATACTACTTCTGGGACCAGTGCTGTGGCATACCAGGTAGAGCCGCCACCTGCAGTGCTGGTATCCCATGTGGGTGCCAGTTCGAGTCCCAGCTGCTCCACTTCTGATCTAGCTCTCTGCTAGGGCCTGGGAAAGCAGTAGAAGATGGCCCAAGTCGTTGGGCCCCTGCACCCATGTGGGAGACCCAGAAGAAGCTCCTGGCTTCGGATCAGCACAGCTCTGGCAATTGTGGCCAAGTGGGGAGTTAACCAGCAGATGCAAGACCTCTCTGTCTGTCTGTCTGTCTCTCTCTCTCTCTGCCTCTCCTTCTCTCTCTGTGTAGCTCTTTCAAGTAAATAAATAAATCTTAAAAAAAAAAAAATACTACTTCTGAGTAAATATCCAAAAGACTTAAAAACAGGATTTCATAGAGTGTGAATACCATGTTCACTGAATTATTACAACACTTATAAGGTGTTAGCAACCTAAATGTCCAACAACAGACAAATAAAGAAAATATAATATACACATACAATGGATTAATCAGTCTTAAATAAAAGGAAATCGTATCACATGCCACAACATGGATGAACACTGAGGATATTACACTAATAAGCCAGTCACACACACAAAAAAAGGACAAACGCTGTACAATTCCACTTATATGAGCTATTGAAAGTAGACAAACTTAAACAGAAAAAAAAAATGGTGCCTGGTGCTTTTCACCACAATAAAGTCTTGAAGATTCAAACAACTGATAAATTATTTTCAACTAGATTTTAAAATAATCTCATAAAATGTATGCCTTTGGTGTGAGCTTTTAATTACTAGAGGCCTCTGCTGACACAACAATGACTAACTGCAGTAGAGAAACAAATGCTTCTGAAATGCTTGAGAATATTCTTTATGAAGCAGACAGCTGAACTCATCTCTTCTAAAACACTGGGGAGGGGCCAGCATTGTGGCACAACAGGGTAAGTGGCCATCTGCAATGCAAGCATACAATATGAGTGCCAGTTCAAGTCCTGGCTGCTCCATTTCTGATCAAGCTCCCTGTTGATGTGCCTGGAAAAGCAGAAGATGGCCCAAGTGTTCAGGCCCCTTACATGGAAGACCTGGATGGAGTTCCAGGCTTCTGGCTTTGGCCTGGCAAGGCACCAGCCATTGCAGCCATTTAGGGGAGTGAATCAGCAGACAGAAGGTATCTCTTGATAACTCTAAGTAATTCCGTTTCAAATAAATCAATCTTAAAAACACTGGGTGATTCAAAATTGGAGAGAAGAGAATGGATGCTGTATACATAATGATGGGTCCATGTTCTTCACACTTTGGCAAGCTGACTTCATAATGAAAAAGTGAGCATCAGTACAACCTCTATCCAACAACCCCACCTTGTCCATGGTTTTGCTTTCTGAGGTTTCAGTTACCTTCAGTCAACTGTGGTCCAAAAATATTAAATCGGAAAAATTCCAGAAAGAAAAAATATACAAGTGGTAAATAACTTTTATTATAGTATTGTACTATAATTACTCTATTTTATTATTAGTTACTGTTGTTAGTCTCTTACTATGCCTGATTTATATGTCAAACTTTATCATCGATAAATTAAATAAGTTTATATAATTTGGGGCAGGTATTGTAGCACAGCGGGTTAAAGCCCTGGCCTGAAGTGCTGGCATGCCATATGGGCTCTGGTTCTAGTCCCAGCTGCTCCTCTTCCAATCCAGCTCTCAGCTAGGGCCTGGGATAGCAGAAGATGGCCCAAGTCCTTGGGCCCCTGCACCCACATGGGACACCCAGAAGAAGCTACTGGCTCCTGGCTTCAGATAGGGACAGCTCCGGCCACTGCAGCCATTTGGGGAGTGAAACCAGCGGATAGAAGACTTCTCTCTCTCTCTCTAACTCTTTCAAATAAATAAAATAAATCTTAAAAAAAAAAAAGTTTATATAATTTATAAACTGTATTACCGATGTGCTTAAAGGGAAAAACACATGAGTACATTTAGGATTCAGTCCTATCCATAGTTTCAGACACTCACTGGGGTATTAGAATATAACCTCTTCAGATAATAAGGGTAACTGCTGTACTACATATCAGAATCACAAATCCCAAATAGGCAAAGGTCAAACTGATGAAATTTATGATATAATCTTCATTTCCCAAAATTTATGTAACTTTTCCAAGAAGCTCAGAAATCAAATGAATGAGGCTAGCCTGGTAACAAATGGTCAAAGTTTACAGTGAGATTGATACTACTACACATTTGTATGCACTGCAGAAAACACATGAGATGAAAACCCTTACCTTCATCAAAGTCGGCATCATCCTCCGTGTGCTGGGGGAAAGGAAAGCAGTTGGTGATTTCAAGCCGATCTTCTACAACCAGTCCTAAAAGCACTCCTTGAACAACCTCAGTTCCTTGACCTTCTTCTTGATAATGTTTTATTATCTTTAATACCACCTAAAAGAAATACAGAAAGGGGCTTAAAAATCATTCTCCTTTTATATCCTTTATTTCTAAGAAAAACAGGTAAGCAATTATTAGCGGATTTGCAAAAACACAAAACTACATAGGATTAAACAAATGCCTTACAAACCATTTCCTTTACCGTTATATAATAATAAAGCTCCCATAATCTAAAAGTAAATATGAAACTCCCGGAGTCTGAAGATATACCAAAAATATCTGTGTACTACACTCACAATCCCTAACTCAACACTCCCCAAAGAGTCTAGTATCCAGGCGTTCCTTCAGGCAAATCAAACAACACCTCCTTCAGCCTGAGGTATCACTGGGAAAGTTATCCTATTAACAGGAAGGTAACTTCTTTTTTTAAAGATTTATTTTTATTTTTTGAAAGACAGTGTTACAGAGAGAGGTCTTCCATCCATTGATTCACTCCCCAGATGGCCACAACGGCCAGAGCTGAACCAATCTGATGTCAGGAGCCAGGAGCTTCTTCCGGGTGTCCCACATGGTGCAGGGGCCCAAATTCGGGCTATCTTCTAGTGCTTTCCCAGGCCACAGCAGGGAGCTGGATCAGAAGAGGAGCAGCTGGGACTATAGAACCGGTGCACATATGGCATGCCGGCACTTCAGGCCAGGGCTTTAACCCACTGTGCCACAGCACCAGCCCCCAGGAAGGTAACTTCTTGATATGGATGATAAAATCCAGTCATTTGCAACAAAATGAAAGAATCTGGAAAACATCATGCTGAGTGAAAAAAGCCAGTCCCAAAGGAACAAATATATGTTCTCCCTGATAGGTTACAACTAACTGAGCACCTAAAAAGAAATCTGTAGAAATGAAACTGACACTATGAGAAGCAATGACTTGATCAGCCCTTGTCCCGACTGTCAAGGAACAGCTTACTATTTTATTCTTTTTAGTATTTTCTTTTTCTACTTAATACCACTGGTTGAACTCTTCACTTAACACAGAATTATTCTTAGGTGTTTAAATCCAATTGAAAATTGGTCCCTGTTAAAAAGAAGAGTGGAAACAAGAGAGCAAGGAGATGTACAGTTCAGCACACATTCCCTCAGACTTACCCCTAAAGGTAAAGCTAAAAACTTGCCGTTGGACTCCAAATCCCATTAAGTTGGCAGGTACCAATGTCATCTTACAACTTAAAGTGATCAGTTTAAGTTCATAACTGATCATAAAGACAGAAATAAGTTTCAAAGGGATCACATAAATAAGACCAAGTGTCTGCTAATAATAATAGATAGAATTAAAAAGGAGAGAACAATCCAACATGGGAAGCAGGCCACATAACAGACTCATAGAATGACAAACACCCTAAACAGCATTGTGGCCTCAGAATCAGCCCTTAAGGCATTCTGGTCTGGCTAAAAAGCCCATGAGAGCATTACAGGCATGGAAAGCCAAGACACTGTGGCAAAAAATGACCTACATGAAAGATCTCCGTGAGATCTCAGTGAAAAGAAGGAGGAGAGAACTTCCACTTTGATTATGGCCCTGTTTAAATAATGTCAGAGTTTGTGGACTCAAGAGGCTTCCATAGCCTTGGTAGCTCATGACAAGAGCCTTGGGTGATCACTGACATCATAAATAAGAGTGTCAATTGTTAAATCAACAACAGGAGTCACTGTGCACTTGCTCCCCATGTAAGACATCTGTTCTTAATGAGTTGTACTATGAGAATTAACGGTAAATCTAGTCTTCAAACAGTACTTTATACTTTGTGTGTCTGTGTGGGTGCAAACTATTGAAATCTTTTTAGTATAGAGCTGGTCTTCTGCATATAAAGGTAATTATAAATCTTAATGAAGAATGGGATGAGAGAGGGAGTAGGAGGTAGGATAGTATAGGGGGGAGGGCAGGTATGGGGGGAAGAACTGCTATAATCTAAAAGTTGTACCTATGCAATTTGTACTTATTAAATAAAAGCTCTCTCTATAAAAAAATTTTCAGATTTTGAATAGCAAGACAAATTATGATCCAGAGGAGCATGCCCAGTCATACATTCACTAGGAAGGCCTGGGTATTAGCCCATATCCAATTTGCTATATTAAACACTCTTTATAGGTTAAAAAAAAAAAAAAGAGAGAGAGAGAGAAAGAAAAAAAAAAACCTGGTATCCAGTACTGCCTAATTTTCCTCAACCAGAGAGATACACTGAATAATCGCTACTGGAATAAACAACTCTTGTTTGACTGTCTTCTTTAAGACTGACACAAAGGGGCCGGCACTGTGGAGCAGCGAGTTAAAGCCCTGGCCTGAAGCACTGTCATCCTATAAGGGAACCTGTTCTAGTCTCTGCTGCTCCTCTTCTGATCCAGCTCTCTGCTGTGGCCCGGGAAAGCAGAAGATGGCCCAAGGCCTTGGGCCCCTGCACCCACCTGGGAGACCCAGAAGAAGCTCTTGGCTCCTGACTACAGATTGGCTCAACTCCGGCCACTGCAGCCACTTGGGGAGTGAACCAGCATCAGATGAGGACCTCTGTCTCTACCTCTCTCCATAACTCTTTCAAATAAATAAAAATCTTTTTTAAAAAAATATTCACACAAAGACAAAGGAGACACTACAGTGTATGACTGCATAGACAGTTAATGTCAAAGTTCATGGTAACCATTCCTAATAATTCTTACAACATAGGATTGTTACTATATGGAAAGTGCTTTGACTACTGCTCAGCACCTACTTGTTAACAATAGTGATGTTTAACATAAGCCCATGACCTGAAGACCTAAATAGCAACACAGCCTAAAATGCAAGAAGTTCTCACAGAGAAATTAAGCCTAACAACAAAATAACAAATTATTAGTACTTTATTGATTAGTGTTCATCCCAAATACATTAACAGGAATAGTAATTATGAGTCAGTAACAAGTCACATTTATTGAACATTATGCACCAAGTAACATTCTACCTACTTTTACATGGGTTATTCACACAACCACCTTCGGAGAAAGGCACTTTTACGCAAAAGAACCCAGAGAAGAAACAATGGCTAAAGGCCATCTAGAATTGGCAGTCAGCATTTAAACCAGGCAAGTTCCAAAGCCTGTATGTATACTTTAACAAGATGCTGATTTTTCTATCAGTAACTCAACTGATAATTAAAGTAATCAATTAGTAATAAGGGCAGGCATTTGGCCTACAGATTAAGATTCTCTTTGGGAAGCCACATCATGCAGCAGAGTGCATGAGTTCAAGTCTCATCTCTGCTCCCAATTCCAGTTTCCTGCTAAGGCACACCGTGGGAGACAATAGGTAATGGCCAATATGTGGATCCGTCACCCAAGTGAGAGACCCGGACTGATTTCTCAGGGGCCAGCCCTAAGTGTTGCAGGTGTTTGGGAAGTTTATCAATAGTTTGGGAAGTAAGAGCAATATCGTGCATTCACTCACTGTTACATCAATAATAAAGAAAAAAATGTTTTAATTAAAAATAATAAATACTAATCTGTTAGTAAAAGATGTACAGCAAATCCTTTATGACAATAAGATACAGATCTCTGGAGGAGAGCAATCAGCAGGGGAAATAGCTCAGTAAAAAAAGAACACCAACTGACAGGACTGGCAGACCTTCAATATTCTTAAATGAAGGATGGGCTTACATTGTATCACAGCGGGTTAAGCAACACTCACATCCCATATCAGAGTGCCAGTTCCAGTCCCAGCTGATCCACCCTCAAAGCACCCTCCTGCTAATGCATCTGGGAAACAGTAGATGATAAAGGATAAAGTACTTGGGTTCCTTCCACCATGTGGAAAAATCCCCATGGAGTTCCTGGCTCCTGGCCCAGCCCTGGCTGTTATAGGCATTTGGAAAGTGAACCAGAAGATGGGTAAAAGATCTCTCTTTTCTCTTTCTCACTCTGTCTAGCTCTTCCCTCTCTCGGGGTCATTCTGTCATTCTCTCTCTCTCTCAGAGAGAAAGAGATCTTTCATCTGCTGGTTCACTCCCCAGATGGCCCCATCAGCCAGGGTTGAGCCAAGATGAAGCCAGTACCTAGGAGCTTTCATCAGGTTCTTCTACATGGACAGCAAGGGTCCAAACACTTGGGCTGTGCTCCGCTGCTTTTCCCAGGCCATTAGCAAGGAGCTAGATAGGAAGTAGAACAGCTGAGACTAGAGCCGGTGCCCCTGTGGGATGCTGCTGTCACAGAGCAATGCCAGTCCTGTCAGTCTTTTGAAATAATCAATCTCTTTGGGCTACCATTGTGGTACAGTGCGTTATATACCACCATCTGCAATGCTGGAATCCCATATGGTGCTGGTTCAAGTCCCAGCTGCTCTACTTCTGATCCAGCTCCCTGTTAATGCACCTGAAGATGCAGCAGAGGATGGCCCAAGCACTTGGGCCCTGGCAACCACAAGGGACCACCAAAAGAAGCTCCTGGATCCTGGCTTTGGCCTGGCCCAGCACTAGCCGTTGTGGCTAACTAGGGAGTGAACCAGCAGATGAAAGTCCTTTCTCCCTGTTTCTCCCTCTCTCTGTTACTCTGCCTTTTGAACAACGTGAAATAAATCTCTTTGAAAAAATCAATCTTTTTTTAAAAATGAAGAAAATGCACAAACCTTAACATTTCTGTAGGAAAGATCTCTCTACTGTAAGAATGGGTATGAGTTGTAGCTCCAGCATTTACTAGTTGTGCTCCTTGGAAAGCTATTTAATTTTTTGAAGTTTTAATCTTCTAATTTGTAAAATGTAGCCATTTTATATCATTATTGACAATATGGTTACCACCAGGCTGGCGCCGCAGCTCAATAGGCTAATCCTCCACCTAGCGGCACCGGCACACCGGGTTCTAGTCTCAGTCAGGGAGCCAGATTCTGTCCCGGTTGCCCCTCTTCCAGGCCAGCTCTCTGCTGTGGCCCAGGAAGGCAGTGGAGGATGGCCCAAGTGATTGGGCCCTGCACCCCATGGGAGACCAGGAGAAGCACCTGGCTCCTGCCTTCGGATCAGTGCGGTAGGCCAGCTGCAGCGCACCAGCCGTGGCGGCCACTGGAGGGTGAACCAACGGCAAAGGAAGACCTTTCTCTCTGTCTCTCTCTCACTATCCACTCTGCCTGTCCAAAAACAAAAAACAAAACAAAACAAAAAAAAAAAAAAAAAAAAAAAAAAACAGATATTGGGCGCCAGTTCAAGACCTGGCTGCTCTACTTCTGATCCAGCTCTCTGCTATGGCCTGGGAAAGCAGAAGATGGCCCAAGTCCTTGGGCCCCTGCACCCATGTGGGAGACCCAGAAGAAACTCTTGGCTCCTGGCTTCGGATCAGCACAGCTCCAGTCATTGCGGCCACTTGAGGAGTGAACCAGCAGATGGAAGACCTCTCTCTCTCTCTCTCTCTCCCTCTGCTCTCTCTGTTTAACTCTTTCAAATAAGAATTTTTTAAAAATAAATCAAATAATGAGCACAGAGTATTTTACAAAGTCTGCCATGTAAGTGCTCAATAAATTATTTTTAAGATTTATTTATTTGAAAGTCAGAATTACGGGGGGGGGGGGGGGGGGGGCGGGGGGGAATCTCCCATCCACTGGTTCATTCCCCAAATGGCAGCCAATGGCTGGAGCTGAGTGGCTCCAAAACCAGGTGCAAGGAGCTTCTTCTGGGTTTTGCACGTGGGTGCAGAGGGCCCAAGGAGTTGGGCCACCTCCTACTACTTTCCCAGGCCATAGCAGAGAGCTGGATTGCAAGTGGAGCAGCCAGGACTCAAACCAGCACCTATATGGGATGCTGGCACTGCAGACGGTGGCTTTACCCACTATGCCACAGCATTAGCCTCTCATAAATTATTATTTTTTAAAGGTTTTATTTATTTGAAAGAGTTAAAGAGGTAGGGCGAGAGAGACAGAGGTCTTACATCCTGCTGGTTTACTCCCCAAATGACTACAACAGCCAGAGCTGAGTGGATCCAAAGCCAGGAGCCAGAATTTTCTTCCAGGTCTACCACACAGGTACAGGGGCTCAAGGAATTGGGCCACCTTCTGCTGCTTTCTCACACCATAGCAGAGAGCTGGATTGGAAGAGGAGCAGCCAGGACATGAAACAGTGCCCATCTGGGATGCCTGCACTGCAGGCTAGGGCTTTAACCTGCTGCACTACAGCACAGGCACCCTCAATAAATTATCAATATTATTATTACCAACAAAAATAAATAACTCCTACTCAACATCTCTCTCTACCAAAAACAATTACATTAAAAAAAAAAAAAAAGCAAGCATAAGAAAGGATAAACCAAACCGATGAGGAGTTATTACAAAAACACCTACCAAACTTACATATATATGTTCTTGGGAAGTTTACCTTATAATGGGATCACTAAGCCATTGTTGAAATCAAAGTAGAAATGTCAGAAGATATATAGACTTAATGGACAAATTCTAGAACTGATTCCTATCAGCTAGTTCCTACTTGTACTGATGACTAGGATCCTGGCATTGTTTCAGAAAGAAAGCGAGATCAAAATAACCTATTTCCTTTTATGAAGAAAACAGAAATGAAAATATTATTTCAAAACAAGTTATCACCATCCAAAACAGAGGTGATCATCTCACTCTTTGCAGCATCACTGAACTATTATATGCAGTTCTTAACAATGAATGACCAGAGGACAAATTTACCAGTAAAAATACTCAACCAGAGGTGGGAAAAGGACAATGGTTATTACCTGCTAAAGACAATCAACATTGAAAATGAATACACAGAAAGGGTAATCTAAGAAAGAAGGCTTAAAACCCACAACAGGACTACTTACAAATTCAAACCTCTCTCCAGGCAAGGGACACTCAAAAAGCATATCTTTGCACTAGCAAAGATGCATCAGGTACTGGAGAATTAGCCCAACTTTGAAAGGCAAACTTTGAGGACCACGTGTGAGTTTCAGGAAATATGTCAACTTTAAACATAAACTCTCTATGGCATTCAAGGCTGTTCAAAATAGAAAGTCTTCAGAAAAGACTTAAGTCACTAAAATAATGTCAAACTCTAGAATTTATGATCTACTCATTTTATAGCTGATGAAATAAAGCAGTCAGAAAAAAATACTAAAAGTAAGCTGACTTCATCTTGCATTTTATGGTCTTCCTACTTCCTGCAGACACACTAAAATCACGATTCTTTAGTCTAATATATAAGGTACTTGGGGAAGATGTCTGATAGAGAAGCTAGGCTGCCACTTGGGAAGCCACATCATGTATCCAATGGCCTGGGTCCTAATCCTGACTTTAGTCTCCATTCCAGCTTCCTGTTAATTCATACTCTGGGGGCCGGCGCTGTGACGCAGCGGGTTAAAGCCCAGGCCTGAAGTGCCAGCATCCCATATGGGCGCCAGTTCGAGTCCCAACTGTTCCTCTTCCAATCCAGCTCTTTGCTAGGGCCTGGAAAAGCAGTAGAAGATGGCCCAAGTCCTTGGGCCCCCGCACCCACGTGGGAGGCTCAGAGGAAGCTCCTGGCTTCAGATCGGCACAGCTCTGGCCATTGCAGCCATCTGGGGAGTGAACCAGCAGATAGAAGACCTCTCTGTCTCTACCTCTCTCTGTAACTCTTTCAAATAAATAAAATAAATCTTAAAGAAAAAAAAATTCATACTCTGGGAGGCAGCAGGTGATGGTTCAAGAAGATGGGTCCCTGCCATCCATGTTGGAGGTCCAGACTGAGTCCAGGGTTCTTAACTGCCAGCCTAGCCCTGGCTGCTGTAGGCATTTAGGGAGTGAAACAGAAAACAGAAAATCTTTCTTAGCCTGTCCCTGTCTCTCTGGTCTCTATGCCTTTCAAGTGTGAATAAAATTTGTTCCAATTTTAAAGAAATAATTAATATACATACTTTCGGATTCTATGTAGATAACCACTAATTGGCCATGTGTACATGTGTGTATAAAATATATGTGTTTTATAGAATAGCAGTGTCTTTGAAACAATCCAGGTTCCGTTTGGTGTCATCCTTCTTAAATGTTCTCACAAAAAAGATTGTTTCACTTACCACATCTCCTCCCAACTCAAGCACTGGCTAGATCTGAAAAGATATCTGCTAAGGATAGAATGGCAAACATTCATCAATCACTTTTGTATGAATCTCAAGTACTCCACAAAGTGCCTTACATGCAATGACTCATTTAATCCTCACAACCAGCCTATGAAATCAGTTATATTATTATTTTTTTACATAATAAAACTGATATCTCCTGTTAAGGAATTATTAAAACCAGCAGGCAAGATTTGACTTCTGTGCCCAAAGCGTTTTTAATTACTTCACGATAACTGAATAACTTTAGGTAACCCACAAATGTTTATAAGCACAAGTCTGCAACAGATACAATAAACTAGCAACAGCTCTACTAACTCTAGTTCTGGAGAAGCAGGGCTTCACATACGCAACAAGAAACGGTTTGTATAGTGTCGAGGTTGATTTGTTCTGAGAGGAGGAGTGTGGTAGGGCCAAGAGGTGTGGAGTCACCCACACATACCCCAGGAGTTGGATGAAAGCAGGCCAGAGGCCAGCAGCCCACAGACTCATTTATTACAGTTGGTACAGCAGCTTAAATAGCCAAAGCAGCCAATTCGGTCAAGGGGCGGTTTATGCCCTAACCAATCACAGCGTGTTGCCAGGCAGTATCCGAAGCCATCCAATCACAGCCTGTTGCCAGGCAGGCTCCGTTGCCATGTGATTTCCAAGGCCATCCAATCACAGCCTGTTGCCAGGCAGGTTCTGTTGCCAGGTGGGTTTCAAAGCTATTCCTAAGTAACTGACCCTCACTTGCCAGCAGCCATCTTGGCATGGCCTTCTCATTCCACCACAGTGTAGGGCTCAGGGTCAGGCAGCAAAAGGTAGAGAATTAATGGTACTGGTTGTCAAATCACTGTGCCCTGGTCACTGAAATTCAAGCAGCACACACAGGAAACTTCCAATAGCTGCAAGAATGTGAAGGGTTTTTAATCTCTAAAAACACTATTCTCACAAGCCACAAGACGGGTACATTCCCCCACAAAGTACTGCTTGCTCATTTCATTTGCTCTCTTTCTAACAAACTGTATGCCTCTGTCCACAAAACAGTGCTGATATATTTTTTAATTATCCTGTTTATTAATGTCATGCTCCATGTTCTTTCTTTTAAAAGCAGATACATGGGAAGCTCAATAGTTCTCCAAAACAAAACATTCCCTTATTTTTTTTTAACATTTTTAATTTGTGTTACAAATGACCCCACACTCAGGAACATTAAATCACTACTTCTCAGCTTAATAAAATGACCTGAGCTTTTCAGATACATGAAGAATAGTCCTGATCCTGGATACATATTAGAGCTATTTTGGGAGCTATACAACATGAAGAAGGTCTTCAAATAGTTCATCAAAAATGCATATTATGAAAAAAACTATGCATAGACTAAAAAATTTTTTATACCACCATAGACGATCTTTCAGTTCTTTCTATTTTTCTGTGAACTTTTTAAGGTGCCCTCCTAGGCCAATATCTGAACCAACTTCCTGAAATTCAGTTAAATGATCTGGGCTGGGTTCCCAAACTGTGTTTAGGAGTTTTTGTTTCTTTCTGTTTTGCTTCTAAGTTCTCCAATGATCCTAAGATCCTGCTGATTCCAATGTTTAATAAAGTAGCATGGTCCAGTCTTCCTTTGTTTTTGTTCATTTTGTTGTTATGTCCTCAGGAAATTTTATGTACACTGTGATTAAACCACAAATTTTCCTTCCAGTTTTATGACTCCTAGTGTTGCTGAAAAGTGAGGACCCTAAAAAATATAGACCCAAAAGTGAACATTTTACTTCTAAAAGCATAAATAGCGCCCCCAATAAGAGGAACTCAAGCCCTCCTTGGAAGAATCTTTATTGTAGAGAAAAGAGAAAGGTAACTTACAAATATTAGAAATCTTAGAAATATTCAAGTTTTCTACAGTACAGCAAGACATACTTTATGGCTTTATTCCACATATAAGACTTAAGAACTAGTACTGACTATGTTTCTTAATCCTACAAATGAGTGGGGAAATGAGGATTCCACTACAGATTATGCCTCAAGAGACGGAAGCAAATGGGTCAGTAGAAACCTAAATTACTCAACTCTTCTACACTTTGTGAAACTTTGCCAGATTGTGTGTCACAATGTTTACCCTACATGATTTGCTCTCCACAGTAAAGACTATTCTCCCCATCAGGTCATTCATCCAGATTTCCGAGGATTGTACCATCTGAATCCCAATTTTACCAGATAGTAAATAGATGTTCTGTTTGCCAAAATTACCCAGAGAATATTTTTCCATTGTTTACTATTCAATATACACTCTTTTAAAAAAAGTATTCTATTATATAATCTCTAATAAGAACAATGCTATTTGTTAAAGTGTCTGGCCTTAGAAAGAACTTCACCCAAAAGTCTAAAAGCAACAAAGGATTTAATTTCTAAGACAGAAGCATTCTCACTATTACAGGGTAAAACATAAATATCAATGTAAATTATCCAATAAATTTTTTATACCGGAAGTCGATAAAATCCTCCATTCTTCTTAAAATGGAAGATTAAGCAGAATCTCTAAGAATTCTCAGTAAAAAAATCACAACAAAAACTTTCAGTTCCATACTGAAAGTAGGTTGTTGACCCCTTAGTGGAGTCTCCTGACACCCTCAAAACTCAAAAAGTCCTTGCTTGCTGTTTCCTCTTTGCTTCCTGAAAATCTCTGCTCTATTCTTTAACAACAGGTGCCAGTTATAAAAGTCAGATTATTAATTCACTATTTCTTAAAAGCTGTTTTATACAGACTTTACCACCAAGCTGGCCTACATCAGTTTCAAAACAGAAACAGAAATAGAACAGTCGGACAACTTTGGGTAGTAAGGAGTCTGAAGACCACAACAGCTGCTGACTCTACTGCTCCTAATGATCTATACATGGTCCTTTTGTGAGCTCCAACAATCGGAAATTTCCCTGGCGATCTGAATCCAGACTTCTCTTTCCCAACTCCATTAAAACTTTCTTCAGACCCCTGGTCAGGGAGACAGAGCTGTTTTTCATCCCTATTTCCATTGCTTGCTGGCCATTCAATTATAAAACCTTTCTTTTCTTAAAAAAGATCAAGTTTTGGGTTCATCAGGCAACAAACCTGCCTGATTCACTAACAATACCAGAGAATGTTTTAAATCTCATCAAAATATAAAGATTACGCTTCTTGATGAGTTAGAATTCTTTACCCAATATGTCTCTCACCAATAATTATGGTAAACTTTGGAATTTTCTGCACAGAACCATCAAGCTTATGTTATCTTCAATTTCTTTCATTCACTCATTAACTCAGTCAACTAAATACTGATTGACTAACTTCTCCAGGTCAGTCCCCTGTCATGGCCCTGGAAATACAAAACTAAATCAAACACATTTATTTCAAGGGATTCATATTTCTAGAACAAGTTTCATACTATACACTACACTTATGACATCAGGTGCGTGGGTTTCTTCCATATCAAGCAATTCTTCAACTCTCCTAGCACCAGGTGGGTTTCTTTCTTCATTTCTTTTAAAGATTTATTTATTGGAAGGGGGCACATAATACTAGAGGAATAAGTGGGGGGTGGAGTGGGAGAGATCACTGATCTGTTGGTAATCACAAAGGCTGGGGCAGGTCCAATCAGAAGTCAGGAGCCAGGAGCTCCACCCAGGGCTCCTAGGTAGGTGAGGTTTCTTAGAATTTAATACAATTCTGAAAATATCTCCCTGAAGTTAGTGTCAGATCCCAGAACGTAAGGCCTTGATCCCATAAATCTTCCCACCCCCCACCACTCCCCTTCAGATGCCAATCCTGAAATCCAGGCATATAAGTCAAACAAAATGCCATATACTCAGTGATTTCAATTATATGAAATTCTAGAAAAAACAAAGCAACAGTGACAAAAAGATAAGTGAGTACCTCAAGCTAAGATGGAGGAAAGGATATTGACTACAGAGGGAAACTGGAAATACCAGGATGAAGAAACTATTCCATATATCTGGATTGTGATATCAGTTATATAACTGTTTAGTCTTTATTTATTTATATAACTGTTTAGACTTGATTGTGGGGTCAGCGCCGTGGCGCAGGTTAATCCTCCACCTGGGGCACTGGCATCCCATATGGCCGCCGGTTTCTAGTCCCGGCTGCTCCTCTTCCAATCCAGCTCTCTGCTGTGGCCTGGGAAAGCAGTGGAGGATGGCCCAAGTGCTTGGGCCTCTACCTGCATGGAGACCTGCAAGGGGCTCCTGGCTCCTGACCGGTGCAGCTCTGGCCGTTGTAGCCATTTGGGGAGTGAACCAACAGAAGGAAGACCTTTCTCTCTGTCTCTTCCTCTTACTGTAGTAACTCTACCTCTCAAATAAATACAATCTTTTAAAAAAATAATTTAAAAACGGACTTTATTGTGTACAAACAATACTTTAAGAAAATAATATACTTTAACAGTGTGATGGAGGGGCCGCTGCTGTGGCATAGTGGCCTAAGCCTCTGCCTGGGCGCCAGCATCAAATACGGGCACCAGCTGTGTCCTGGCTGCTCTACTTCTGATCCAGTTCTCTGTTATGACCTGGAAAAGCAGTAGAAGCTGGCCCAAGTGATTGGGCCCCTGCACTGATATGGGAGATCCAGAAGAAGCTCCTGGCTCCTGGTTTCAGATCAGCCCACCTCTGGACACTGCAGCCATTTGGGGAGCAAACTAGTGGATGGAAGACCTCTCTCTCTCTCTGTAACTCTGCCTCTCAATAAATTTTTAAAAGTAAATGAAAAAAAATTTAAAAATAAAAACCTATTACATATGTGCAGGAACATATTTCTAAGAATAAGAATGGCATAAAAGGACATCTTTTCCTTTTTAAATCTGTATTATTTACAGACTATTCATTTAATTATAATTCAAAAAACCTCAAATAATGAAAAAACTAAAGAAAAAGATTTTTAAAACATAACATTCACTATGATTCACTGCATGGAGTTTCACTAAATAGAACAAATTTAATTTCCTTTCTTGACAGTGCTACTGAGTTGACAGAATGAGGTAAACAATGCATCTTGATTTTAGCACGTTCTTTTGAATATGTAGTAAAACATGGGCTGAATAAGAGCTGAATAAGCTTGAAGGAATAAGACCAAAGAAAAAACACCCATACACTGTAAGTCACAAAACCTGCTGACTAAATTCTAACCTCTTGCTGATATGGCTATTCTTCAACTCTATTCAGACATTGCTGTACCCACATTCACAAATTACCAGAAAATGTGCACATGGACATATCATCAACATGTGAAAAAGGTAACCTCTGGATGTAGACACTGGCTTTCAACAATCTTTCAAGTGAAATCTACTGAAACCACCCCAATCCACACCGATTATAAATCAACAAAATATGAATTCAAATTTGTAAGCTTATTATAACAAGCCTTCACCAGTAAAAGCAGCAAGATTTCTACAGTCCTTGTAATAGACATATAAAGGACCTGTTGAAAAGCCTTGTTAAACAACTGAAGACATGAAGAATTTTGAATTGTTAGAACTATA